TTTCGAGGTACAGCAAAGCTTCCTTGACGGGAAGGTGGGTGAGGAGAGAAGGGTTGAGCGGCAACTTCCGGTGCCAGGAGGAAAGGTCAGGATTCTTCAAGACCCGCCCGGCGATTTCCAGAGCGGTTGCCGATCTGGCTGTCCTCAGTAAGGCAGCGCTGACGCGGATCGTGGCGCTCTCTAAAGCCATAGCGTCGGCTCCTTCGTTTTCCTCCTTGCTCGCTTCCGTGTAAAGCTTGCCGAGGACCAGCAACTCCTTCTCGATTTCTCCGCTGGAGATGAGTCCTCGCTTGAGCGCCTTTCGAAGGTGGTACCACCACTGTCTGCTGCCATATCTTCTCGGCTCCATGGACGCCTCTTGTACTTCTTCCAGGGTTCTGCCGCCCAATTTTGAGCTTTTCACAAAGTTGATGCAATTTCCTGGCTCACACAGATGCATCGCCAGCTTATCCTGGACACTGCCGGAGAAATTCGCTGGTTCTGTGCCCGCTCTGAGTTGGCAATAAAGGAGGAATTGGCTTCGCGTGATAGAACCTGTGCGGACCAAGCTTTCGAGGACCTTCGTCAGTATCAGCGCGCCATTGACGGCGAGTTTCTTTCGCTTGATCTCTCGAGAGTCTTCCACATCGACGTGGCCCGGCAACTGTTCGGCATCATCAATGAGCTCCATCCTGGCCTTCGGCCAATTCGCAAGTGGGTCGACAGGAGCGACATCAGCGATGTGAAAGGCGTCCGCATCCAGCAATGGGTCCAGGATCTCGGACCTCTCCTTGGAGGAAAGAAGGGCCGATCTGAGCGTCTTGTCTCGCAGAATCAGCAACTGCCTGGTCGGGGAGCTGGCACTCCAATAGCATTCGACTGTCCTCCTCTTGGCGCCTGCATCCTGACACCAGTTGGTGACGTACCAAGTGAGCAGATCCAACCACCCGGCATCCCTCTCCTCGTCCTTACGACTGTACGCCTCGTCCTTCCCTTCCTGGCCGGCACCTTTCCCCAGTTCCTGCAACACCTCATGATTGAGGGCCTCGGAGAAGGCCTTCAGATCCAAACCACTCTCCACCTTCCAAAAGTGGAAGTTGGAGCCTTTCAGCCTTTGAGCTCGGGTCGATCGCCCAGTCCTCGCCTTGGATTGAGATTCTCCCTCCGAGATCGACGAGTTGTATTTGAGGGACCAAGAGTCGAGCCAACCTCCCAAGACAGGGGCAATGTGCCCATGTCGAGTCAAGTCGATCGAGTAGGTGCTGTAGCCAAAGGTCCGCTCGTATACCGGGTCCTCTGCGATATCGAAGCCTTGCGAAATCTGCCACCTCCTCATCTGAAGCATGAAATCTCTCATGGGGTCCAGCAGGATGGCCTTGAGAAGTTCCGCCATTTCAGGCCGTGGGGAGCTGAGCTGCACCCAACACGCGACTCTCATGGCTGCAACTTTGACGATACAAGCTGCGAAGGTTCCAATCTGGAAAGATCGAGCGATAAGAGGGGAAGGGGAGAAGTATGCCAAGAAAGAGAATGGTCAGAAAGGAAAGCGCATCAGACTTGAACTGGATTTGCTAGAAAAGGTCGAACCGAAGTTTTTTCTTAAATTTAAGAAAGAGAGAGAAAAATGGGGCGAAGGAACTTGGGAAGGAGATACCCACCTCTTGGCTGTTAAAGTCAGGTTCTAGGCTCCTCCTCTCGACGTGCTCGAGCAACCTTTGACAACACTTGTCGTACCCCCCGATCATGCTGGCGAAGTTTTCGAAATCAAAATCCGTACCTCTCCACCCATCGAGCTTGATCGAGTCCAGGCTGGCAAGTCCGGAGAGCACGGTCTGAAGCAGGGTCCCTAGCAGGCAATTGGTCGAAGCGCGGCTGTGGATCAGGTTCATGCTCGTGACCGTGTCCCTCAGAAGAGCGCCCAATACCTGATCGAGCGTCGAAAACGTCAGGTCTGGAGAGAGTGTCAGGCACGACAGCTGCAGGGCGTAGTTTAGGAAGATCATCCTCCCCACACCCGCCTGGAATCTCTTGGCCCTAGAAAGACTCTCCTTCACGTCCAGTCGGATCGAGTCGAGTGGATTCGGATCAACGGGCTCCCTCCTCGCTCCTCGGATCAACCGAGTCCGAGCTTGCTCCTGCCCCGACCACAGAGTCTCTAGAAACTTGCCCGTTGCTATGCCCTCCAATCTCACTCCGGAATCTTTGTCGTGCTCGTTGAAAGCTCTCTTCCACCCCAGCATACCCACTGCAAGGTTATGTCTTCTGTTCACCATGGAGAAGCTGATGATCCACGAATTGCTCTTGAACATGTCGAGGGCGAGGTTCGGGTTGAAACCTTTGGCTCTGATCACCGCTTCGAAGAAGTCGTTCCTCATGTCACCCCGGTCGGAGACGGCGAACCCTGCGTCGTTCCTGGCCTTTGCCTGCGAGTAGAGTCTTTTCGCATCCTTGATCGGTAAGAGAAGCAGCGTCGAAAGGTGGAGCGCTCTCTTCTTCTCAGGCTCGTCATCCACCAAGTTGAGGTCGACCCTGGGGCGCGCCCCCGCCCCACCGCCCTCGTCTAGCAATTTTTCGGGCCGATTGAGGAGCACCAAGAGTTCCCACCGCGAGCGAATCGGTACTTTGCCAAGGACGGTGTTGACCAGGACCGGCTTGTTGAGATCGATGCGAACGAGCGGTGACTTGTAGCACGGCGGTAGCGAGGCTACACAATCGCTTACCAGCCGGTGGCATCTTCTGCGCAGATCAGCGTCGGTCCAGGACCGAGAGGCTTCCCACATTGCGATCAGCTCATACGCTAGTTCGACCTTCTCTTGCGACTCCCGACTGGTGGTCCCGTCACTCTGAACCGCCCGCGCCTTCTCTCTGGCCTTGCTGAGGGGCCCAAGTAGAGCGAGCTCTACGAGGTCAAAGTTGTGCGAGCTTTTTAATGCCTTCCAACTCCCAAGAGCTGCGTGGAGGAGGTTGCTGGCTTTCACCTCGCAAGTCACGTCGAGGATTTCTCTCCGCTGCTTCAGCGTCTCTTCCAAAAAAGCTTGACCCGCTGTCTTGGTGCCGTCTTTCGACTTTGTGCGGTCCATGAGAAGGGGATCCATGACCGTATGCCGAAGTACGTTGACGAGTTGACGGTTTGTCTTTGATCGAGGGTTGAGATCCCCCCTTGCCTCCACGGCGATGATCCACTCCCTCAAGACCCGAGGCCGGCTCGAGGCCAGTTCTTGCCAAATCTTGTCGTCCATCCCAACCAATCGGTCTCGGCTATCTCGTTCAACGAGGAAGGTCAGCAGAGTATCGTGAGGAAGTGCTTTGAGCAGGGGGGCGGTCACCTTGAAGGGCAGGTTCGAACCTAGCCGAAGGGACGAGGAGATGATCTCTGCCAGGATCTCTCCCCGCTGATCTTCGTAGGCCCTCGAGGCCAACTTCTTGACCATCCTCCTCCTGTTCTTGACACTGATCGCCTCGAGAATGGATGCTATGGTCTGGCTAGCGCTGGGCGAAGAGGGCCGATCGAGGTTGCAAAGGAGATGGATAAGCCGTTCGAAGCGTTTGGAGTGAAAGGCATTGGCGATCACATCGACGGCGCCGCCCACGATGGCGTGGAAATGGCTGAGCGACGAGTAGGACGACCGCTCGCGCGGTAGCAAGATGGCGGTGGCCCACCGAAGGTTGTTTGAGATCTTGAGTACCAAGATGTAATCGCCGGAGAGCAAGGGGATGGATCCGTTCTGGGAATCGAGGATGGCTTTGTTGAGATGCTGGATCAGCGGATCCGAGTACGGGTCCAAGACATCGGTCCGGTCCGGGTACGTTGCCAGAGTGGCGCGGAGATGCTCCCTTTTTTCGAGTCGGGTCAGCGTCGCGAGTTTGAGAGGGCAAAGATCGGCGCCGAGCCGACTGCTCAGGATCTGGTTGGTGGTCGACATGTCGTTTCACTCGGGCGGGGAGGGAGAAGGGCGGAGAGAGTGGATCAAAGGGGCAACCTTTGAAGATTCCAAGTTGAGGGTTGGCGATCTTTGGTGTCAAGGAGGAGTGAAGGCAAGGTGAGGGGAAGGACTATAAGTAGGAAAGGGTGGGCACCGGAGGGTAGGAGAGGTGGCTTGTATGCTAGGAAAAGGCCAAGAAGGGCGGAGGGGCGAGTCAGAGTGGCGCATACAAGAGCGGCGAGCTCCTGAGCCCGGATGGAGAGCTGAGTCTGAGAAGGGTAGAATGAGAAGAAGGCTAGGGTCAATAGGGTCGTGCCAGGAACGTCGAGTGGGAGGTAAGGAAGAAGGGGGCAAGACTGAGCTGGTCTGAGAGGAATGGGAAGTAAGGAAGGAAGGGAAGCGAGAGGCAAAGAGCGTAAAGCCAACGATGTCAACAGGCTACATTGACATGCATACGGACTTCTGACTGTTCAACAGTTGTCAAACACACAGTCCCGCAGAGAGCTGTGCTGCGTTGGGGAAGGAGGTGGGAGTGTGAATGGAGCGGGATCGCTCCCACGTCCGGCGCTCACTACTGCTCCTCCACTCGATTTGGGAACTGAAGTATTTTGCTGAGCCCACTCTTTGGGTTTTGCTGAGCTTGCTCCGATGGTGGTGTGCGCACCCCAAGCGAATGAATTGCGTACATGCAAGCAAGCACTTCACTTGTGTCCCCTTCGTTGCCGGCGAACAAGACCAAGTGCTTCGAAGATAGGGTGGGGGGAGAGATGCCCGCTCTCTCACCTCAAGCGAACGTTGAACACCAGCAGGGTTCTCGACACGCTGGCTACGTACGGACAGAAGTCAGAAAACAGATACAAGTGCACACACCACGCACGCTGTCTTACCAAGTCTACCACAGGTTCCTCTTCAGTTGTACGCAGGTGCGACTCGCTCGAAGAGGGGTGTCCATGCACTGTCGGGCGCCACCGAGGAGAGGGACAAAGGCGCAAAGCAAAGAAGTGGGCGGTGGAGAGGCAAATCTCTAACGGATGGTGTTGTGGCGTGAAGGGGAAACATGATCTCGAAAAAGATAATCTTAAAGAAAAAGAAAAAGGATTCCCACTAGCCGATTTGAACGACTGACTTCGTCATGACAGCACGTAGATGCTGGAAGCCTTACGGGTTACTAGTGACGCACTCTACCACTGAGTTAAGCGGGAGTCGACTGTACCTTTTTTCAAACCTATACAAGATGATTGTCATAGACGAAGTATTCCAATTTCCATTTCCATTCTCTGAAAGATCGGGATGGTAATTCAACGCACGTGATCCTTCGCCTTCCCCTTCGCACGAAAAAGAAGAAAAAGGACAAAAAAAAAAGGAAAAACTTTATCAAAGCCGAGCGAGAGCTTCTACATCAGATCCACTTGAATACATATATATTTTTTATCCTTTTTATCAGGAGATCAGGGGAAACGCAGAGATCACCTTCACCAACCCAAGCCCCCGCCCATCCACTTGCCACCTCGAGCTGATAAACCACATCACCATCGCAACCACCCAATCATCTTCCCTTGGCCTTATCTCGCACTCGATCTCCCATTCGCATACAGGAAACGGAGCCAAAGGGGCGAAGAAGAAGAAGTGGAAGAAGAAGAAGAAGAAGAAGAAGGTCAAGTGCCTGGCCGCCCATCCACAACCGCATAAACCCTTTCGAAGAAGGGGTACTCCCCTCCCCCAAAGATGATCCAAGATTACCAGACCCCGAACTCTTCCTCCTCCTACAACGACCACCCTCCGCACCACCACCACCACCACCACCAAATCCAAGAGGCCGAGGCTTCCACTTCTTACCTCGCCTCCTCTTCCGCCCAAGGGACTCCGGCGACCGCGACGCCAACGAACGAGATCAATTACGATGACCCCAACATCGACCCCACCCAGTGCGCCTCCTACGCCGCCCTCTTCCCCGTCGCCGACCTACCCATCGCCAACATCTCCAGGATCATGAAGAGGTCCCTCCCGGAGAACGCAAAGATCGCAAAGGACGCCAAGGAGTGCGTCCAGGATTGCGTCTCGGAGCTCATCTCCTTCATCACCTCCGAGGCGAGCGACAAGTGCGCCGGCGAGAAGAGGAAGACGATCAACGGAGACGACATCCTCTACGCCATGAGGGTCCTCGGATTCGACAATTACGAGGAGGTCTTGAAGGTGTACCTGAGCAGGTACAGGATGGTGAGTGGCCGAGGAGGGGGGTTGGGGACGGAGAGAGGGAGAGACAGCATTTACTTGACCCGGATCGTCAGGGCCCTTCCCAAGTTGAAACCCCAAGGTGAGCCGAAAACTCATCTCACCACCTCCTCCTCCCCTCCACTTCCCTTTGCTCCTCCTTACGAAACTCAGGCCCAAGAGAACAACCCGAAAGCGAGGAAGCGTTCCATGTGCAAGAAGAACCTGGACAACGAGGGAGGGGAGATCGAAGGAGAGGAAGCCGACGAGAGCGAGAGGGGCAACAAGGTCGAAAGGTTGGATGGTAGGGATGATGTCACTAGCGGTCGGGGGGTCGGAGGTGAGACCGAGGCTGGCTACCGGTACACCCTCACCCATCTGACGCAGTCGCCACAACCGACGTCCACCGCGACAGCCCACTCCTCCGGAGGCGCGCAGGACAACGCTTCCTCCTCTACGTAGGCACCAGTCCTCACCCCGGTCCATTTCCCTCCATGCCCCTGATCCCCAAGTCAACCAGAAACCACGACTCAAAGCCTTCCCTTTCCCTAGACCTCTTTGAGACATCCCATCCAACAACCTTCACACTCCCCAGTGCGGAGAAGGGATCGCGACACGGACGAGAAGAAGTTACGAAGATCCCCCCACCACCTCACCTTTTTCCCTCTCTCTCTCTCACTCTCTATTCTTCTTCTTCTTCCACACCATCGAATGGCGTTTGAGGGGCGGAGGTGAGGGTCTCCAGAGAATCCCGACCGGCACCAGGAAACCTATCTCTCGAGGGTCTCTGGGTGCTTCACCAATGAGAAAGTGGAGAGATGGAGAAGAAGGCCCATTCTTGGGGGGGGGGGGGGATCGTCCGCTTCCCATCACGATACCTCGGCAGTCCTTCGTCGGACTCAGTTATTTATTTCCCCCTTCCTTCCACTCCTTCTTCCTCTTTCGTGCGAGGGAGCTGTACAAAGTGTAAAATTAAAAAAAAGGGGGAGAATGTAGAATAGAAAGAAGGAAAAAGAAAAAGGAAGGAAATGAAGGAGAATGGAGATGAACGAAGGAATTGAAGGAAAATGGGCAAGGAGTCAGACCTCGAAGTGAAGTGTGGGGAACCGTCTCCATGAGGAAGGTTTTGGGGGTGGGGGAGTTGGGACTTGGTGGAGGATCGAAGGCTCCCTCCTTCCCTTTCCATTTCTCCGTACGAATGCGTTGCCCACAACAAGAACTTTCAGAGCCTTTCCAAAGAGGCCGGAAAGGGAGCGGGAAGAAGGGAAGGAGTGGCAGGTTTCGACCATCCCCCGTGACACCTTTCCAAACAAATCTTTGAATCACGAACGCATGTTGACCTCTCGAAATGGGGGAGGGATTTTCAACATTCACGCCACGCCCCGACTGCCCTCTCCTCTCCCCTCCCCCTCCGGACCCGTTCCCAAATCCCTTTGTGAAACCCACCCCCGGCCAGTCCAAAACCCAAAATCGTCACCGACTCGAGGAGGAGAGGTGAAGGACGAAGAAAGGGACATCCGCTTCTAAACCTTCCAAAGTCGAACAAGCTCTGAAACTCGTTTCTTTCTCGGACGAAGCAAAGGGAAGGGGGGGAAGGAAAAGAAAGGGATCGAGAAAAATCGAATTTTGAATCTTACCATCACGACAAAAAGAAGAAGAAAAAAAGAGGAGAAAACGGAAACCATGATCCCTCCTTGTGAAACCTTGCCGAGAACGTAGATCTGTCTTTTTTCACAAGTAAAGAAAGAGGAAGAGGTGGTGGGGGAGGGAGGCGGGGGGGGGGGGGGGGGAAGGTTTGACACCGCAACGGGGGGACCTGAAAATAGAGCCTCTAGGGCTTCTTCAAGAACGCCAAGAAACGATGGTCGCTTTTCTTCTCCTTCCCCCCTCTCCCCTCCCTCTCCGAACCTTGCTGCCGACCCTGCGAGCCAGGGGCGGAGGAGGAGGGTGGAGATGAGGTATGGGTCGTAGCCGAAGACGAAGATGAAGAGGGAGCCCAAAGTGAACCTTCTCGGTGGTTCTCGACTTCGACACCTCCCTCTCCCATCCTGCTCGACCCCCCACTGACGATCCTTTCCTCCTTTCGCACGCTAATCAACCTCTCCTCACTCTCGTCGAGGTATCGGTGAAATTCGGCCATGGCTCGATCGAAGCTCTCGTTCCTCACCTCCACCTCGACCTTCTCCTGCCTATCGTAAGCCGAGACCACGTAGGGCGCCACGAACCTGTATCCTTTCACCGTCCTCAATTCCGTCCTCTTGGGCAACCTCAACTTGCTCAGGTTGGATCGGACCCTCTCGATCTGAACCTCCACTCCCCTCAGGAATCCCACCTCGCCCTTCCTCTGTTCCAGCTCCGTCAGGCTCGACCTCAGCATTTCGTAGCTTTCTCTCAGTTCCCTTTCCAGTTTCGGAGTCATGCCGTACGCTTCCGCAGCCCCTCCGCTTCCCTCTTGGAGCAACGAGAAGGGCTTTTCCGTCGTTTTTTTTCATTCAAGTTTCGTTTTCCGCATTTCGTTCATTTCGAAAAGAAAGAGGTCAGTTTTCGGTTTGATTTGGAGGTGGTTGGGGAGGCGGGGGGGAGGTGGGATGGGGGCGCTGCGCCTACCCCAAGCACCACGTAAACTCACCGTGACCGGCATGGAAAGGATCTGGCTGAACAGGCCGAGCAGGCTGACCAAGACGGTCCAAAAGGATTTCGGTTGCATGATGAGACTCTGAACAGGTGCAAGTTGCGAGGGGGAAGGGAGCGATGAGGAAGGGTGTGCGGCGGGAAGTGGGAAGAAAGTGGATGGGCAAGGCTTAGATATACGAAATGTCCAAGCTTGTAAGGAGGGTTTCACATGGGCCTGCGAGCTTTCTCCGCGGAGGAGTCGTAGCTTCCGCTTTTGGTGAGAGAGAGAAGCCACTCTCACACTCCCTAATCCATCCAGCAAGCTCCAGCCCTCATTCCTCTGCAATTCGGGAAAGAGAGTCGGCAAAGGGTTCTAAGGGTTAGAAAGATTGAGAAGGAAAAACAAAAAAAAAAAATAAAAAAAAAAAGCGGAAGTGGGTTTCCCTCTCGAGAACTTCCAAACCATGGAGCCAAAAGATGGGAAGAGGATCATCTGACAAAAGAAGAAAAAAAGAAAAGAACAAAAGCTCGTTCGACCTCGATCCGTATGTGTGGGAAGTCTTTTTCGCCATGAATTTACCCTTGAAATTTACCAGTATCATCCTCCTGGGAGAAGGACAAGTCCGAGCCGGGACCGAGTCGAGAGTCTCCCACCGACTAGAAACGGGTCTGCCTCACATCCGTCTCGGTCGACCATGGAAACCTCAACGCTATCTGTTGCTCTGCTAGCCAGCAACTTGCCTCGCTGATCTCCGATCTGACCCCTTTCCAGCCACCCTCCAACCATCTGGGAAACCATCGTCAGCCCCGAATGCGTTCGAATCTCGGGTCCCACCCTGTCCAGGTCCCTCGCTTTTAAGAATCAATGAAAAAAAATGAAGGCGACAGAACGAGAAACAAAAAGAGAGCAAAAAGGAGAATTCTTTCCACGCTTCATCTTCAAGCCCAGCGGCCTCAGGATGTTTCACAAATAGTATTGTTCTTTCTCCGCCCCTTTCGCTGTTACATCTTATCTGACCTAAGGATTATCACGAGAACATCTTGGAGTAGGCCGCCCTCTGGGCCTTGAGCTTGGCTTCCCTCCTCTTCGCCAGTGCGGCCTTCTCCTTCTTGATCCCTGCGTCGGCAGGCGCAAACTTCAGGGCCTTGTCGAGGTCGGCCTCGGCATCCTCGTCCCGCTTGGCCGAGATCTTGGCCAAGGCCCTCCTGAAGTAAGCCTTGGCGATCTCGGACTTTGTCTTCTCCTCAGGCCCCTCCGAGTCCCAGCCCGGCTTGTCGAGCCTCTCGATGACCGCAGAGCAGCATGCTTCGGCTAGCTTGGCGTCCGGCTTCTCCAGCCTTAGAGCGCAGAGGGCCGAGTTGAGCTGGAGCGGGTTGC